TACTAAAACATACATATTGAAGAAACTTAAATAGTCGCCTACGTAAGAACTGTGTAATTTAAGTAACATGAATCGGGTTGAAACGCCAATGGTTGAATTCCAGCGACAAATATGCAGCGGAATGTTGAAAGCTTACTGCATTCTTACCCTATCCCAACCGAAACGTTGCCAATTCAAAACATAGTTTCATAAGCCACGACAACAACGTCTTGGTTGGGTTTGGTAATGGAGTGGCATGAAAATGCAACAACAATAACATCGAACCATTTAAATTAAGTGGTTTACCATTGTAGCGATGACATAATGATTACTTTTTGTGTGCATCATTGAATGGCACTATATTAAACCGAACAAGCACCATCTTGGCATGCGAGGATTTGGAATATAAGTGCAGTTTAGTTGTGATATATGTGAATAGTGTTCATAAACAAGTTTTCTCAACGGGATATATTTTGTGTTCGTCATTTCATTGCAACTCGAAAACACCATATACAAGGAGGCACATTCTCACAAGACTTCAAAATACAATCGTTCTAATTTTAGTTTGCTAAAAATTCATCTGAAAAAATACCATTCATGAAACCGAAAAATTCGTTGATTTTTTAGAAGATTTTCCAATTACTATTAAGCTCTTTTCCATTCATACATGCAAAATTTAAAAAAAGTGGAACAAAAAACGTTCAAAAAAGCACGGTCCAAGTCCAACAGCTCTACGTTTCATGCAGCGCTAAAAAGCTCTATATAGAACAATTTGTTGTTTTTCCTCCTGAAAATACGTCATGAAATATATTCGAGTTTCACAAAAAACTTAATGGAATCAAAATTGATAGAGTTATCTTTTTAAAATCGACGTCATTTTTTCTCACAAGCATGCAAAATATAATGTTATTGAAGATTTTGTGCTTCGATGAATACGATACGTCGTTATTATTTGTCAGAGTATATGAAATATTGAGTGATGCTTTTTACATCGATTCACCATGGTAGTTGTTGAGTTCACCTTTCATTGCAAAAATTGCTTTTATGAATTTTACCATTCTTTTACCAAATTAAAAGAAAAGTATGAAAAGTCAGAATAGTACCGTTGAGTTTTATCAGCCTAAAACTATGCAATATTCTTAAATCTTGTGTTCATTTGTGAAGATTTTTATTGCGAGTCTCCACACAAAAGCGCATTATTTATTTTTAATACTCTTGATGGCCACAGAGTATTGCAATTATATCGTTTTAAACATCAAATCTTAGACTTCCATAATTAAATAAATTTCAGTCACGAAGCGTGTTTAATGTAAAATTACAGTCGCACAATGTGTGAGTGTATTGATATCTACGATATATACGCAATCTTAAGCGTGCATCGTGCACTGCACACTCAGTGCATGCGGCGATAGACGCATCTAAATAATATAAAAGATATTTCTTCGTATATTTTGTAATATACACACAGTATGGGTGTAGTGGAAGTCGTATCAATAATAGTTTGTCATATATCATTTGAATGTCAGAGTTATTGATTATAAATGATATTGATGACCTTGGTTCAATATTAAAAATGTAATAATTAAAAATGAGTATCAATGAGTATGTTCTTATCTTTCTGAGAACAACAATCATTTCAATGACAATACACTAGTGTATTATATGTAAATATTTACTCTTCTTTCCGTTACACATAATTAAAGCGAAGTGGGTACTCAAACATCATTTTCTATTTTTGTTTGTTTATTATGAGTTTTACTTAAACGAGATGTCTATAGGTAATCATTTATTTTTATTTTCTAATTTTTTACACATTTTTGTTCTGCTATTCAAAGAAAAATAATAAATTATTTGTTATTTGGCTGTAAGCTCCTATTCTTTAGATTGGAAGCCATTTCTCTAACTTTTCGTCGTAAAATTTTACCGGATGGAGTCATTGGAAGAGATTCGACGAAATAAACGCCACCTCTTAGTTTACAGTAGTCAGCAAAATGATCTGAATGTGAAAGAAGAATATGAACACACAGTAGAATAGTAAAAATAGTATTTTTAAAATACCGTCAACCAGTTTGATGACGTCTGCCTCTGTAATGTTAGATTCTTCGTTGCGCACAACAAAGGCTGTTGGTAAATCAGTTCCCATATCACTTGCTATTCCAATAAGACATACTGCTTTAACACCCGCCACGCCAACTAAATAGGATTCAATTTGCGAAGGTGAAATTTGATATCCACAATATTTGATAATATCTTTTCTGCGATCAACAATAAATAAGTTTCCATCTTCATCAAAATGGCCAATGTCGGCAGTTAAGAAATATCCTTCTACATCAAATGCTTCATCTGTGGCTTTCTGATTGTCGTAATAACCAAGAAATGTATAATTTGTTTTAAAGCAAACTTCGCCATTTTCACCGACGCCACAACGTTTTCCATCTTCATCGATAATTTTTATAGTGAAAAAACTCACAAGCTGACCCACTGAATCAGTGTTACCCAAACTACATGTCATCGGCCCGGCTGACTCACCTTTCAAATAAAATGGGTTTCATTTTCCAATTAAAGATTGCATTTAATGCTATAAAGTCAATATCTTTTGTTTGTGTACTCACTTAGTCCATAAACAGCAAAAACTTTTCCGTTTGGTAATCTGGCATTGATTTCATTTTGAACATTAAGTGAACATTTTCCACCTGTGACCGCCAGAATGTTCAGGCTCGACAAATTGGTGTGATCAAGGCGCTCACTTTTCAATATCATAGCCAAATGATGAGGTGCATTCTTTGAAAATGTTACTTTGTACTGCTCAATGAGCCGAAGATGTACTTCTGGACTATATGGTTCTGTTGTTATAACACGCGTTGCACCGTTAATGATACCAGTTAATAGGACAAACCAACCAGAAATCCAATACAATGAACTGAATGACAACAGCACATCATTCGTGGTTATTGCATAGAAAGATTCAGCACAATCAAGCAAAGCGGCATGCGATAAACATACTCCTATTTTGAAATAACAAATCGTGTCTTGTGAATTTTATTTTGAAATATGCAACTCTGAATACCTTTTGACGATCCTGTTGTACCACTGGAACAAACAATTGCTGCTGTATCGTTTTCACCATCGATTTGCACTGGACTACGATATTAATGTTTTTTTTTTTTTCATTATTCAACTGTTTTAATTGAACCATTTTTTGTCATTATTTTTTTATTAAAAAACTTACACAAACTTGGACTCATTATGCGTTTCCACAAATAAATTCTCAACTTGTTCTGAATCGTCCGTGCTGCCACCAAATGTGAATATCTTTGCATCATTGTTCAATTCATTCAAACACACTTTCACAAGATCACAAGCCTCTACGTCACAAAATATCAATGCTGGTTTAATTGTTTTCAGCATATGCAAAAGTTCGGTTTTTCCAAAGGTTGGATCAAGTGTATTGACTGCACTGCCAATAGCGAGTGAAGCGAACACAATCGGTGCCAAATGGTGTGAATTTTTGGCCAAAACTCCGAATACTTGTTTTGATCGATAGCCACGTTTTTGAAGATTTTGCGCAGCTCGAATTGTTTTCATACGAAGTTCATCATAAGTCAATTGAATACCAGAATCATCACTTATCTGTGTTTAAAACATCTTTTAGACATAATCTGTGAATTCTCAGTGAAATAATAATTTGAAAACGGATTTATTCAATTACCTGAGCGATTTTTGGTCCAAAATTCAAACAAGTTCGAAAAAACACTTGAGCAAGTGATATTTTTGGGTTGTATAGTGGAAGTGAATCACGACCTTTCCACAATTTTGTCTCTTTATCGAATTGTGTTTTGAACATTTTCCTTGAATTTTCTTTTTAGATTGAATTACAAGATGTTTATTTTAAAATAATCAACCGATTGGAAGAACTGAGAACTGATTATTTTCTGACAATCCCCAAGTAAGATTGGAAACAAACTAACATATTACACTGAAAACAGAATGTTATTTATAGCAGAACTCTGACGTTTGTAATACATACGTAATACACATGCAATTTCATAACCAGGGCTGTAATTTTCACTCTGTCAGTGTGCACTTTTGTGCAAGTGTGCGTCGCACATTGAAAATATAAACATTGTGTGCGTCGCACATGGAATGTGAGTGTACACCAAGGGAATGGCACGTATATGAGAGACATGGCGACGTGCCAAACCGTAACGCCAGCTATCGGATAGATAACTTGCAAGTATCGGAAAAGAGTCATTTTGTTTGAATGTTTATTTTCCTTCTCAATAGCGAACAGCATTAGCTCATGCAAGTAAGGAACATGAATATATGAAAATATATTCGATGATCGGATTTTAATGGCTTTACTGTGTAATATTACATCACTTGTATAAAAGTATTCTCGTCGCATCGATGACGTCATAAATAACGTACAGTGTGTTCATCAAAAATACGCGATTGATTGTTGTTTATTAAATGTGCACATTCAGTGTGACCTAATGAAACAGATTATCTTCTCAATATGTACTTGTTATGTTTATTTAAAAATTGCAACAGATATTATTACAAATGTGATATGGAGTGTACCCAATTAAACCTGAAAAACTCTTTCAAAGATAAGATATCATTGTCGCAAATCATCATTATACGTCGGAATTTCTAAAAATACAATAGTGTATATGTATGTTTTTTTTAAATATGAATAATTGACCTAAAAACATGGGGAAAAGATGCTGAACACATATCAATAATCATGTATATAACATTATAAATGTAGTATGATCATGATTTTTAGCTTTATGTTCGTTGTAAATTAATTGTTTAAGAAGCCTACTGGTAAAAACTACCTTGCCACTAACTATTAAGCATTAAGACATCACATTTTCGCAAAATTCCAATAACTAAGCGTTTAGAAAATTCAAAAACGTGTTCGATCTCATAAGAAATGTTGCCGTACACATCATTCTCGAAAAGTCATTTCTTTTCAGACGAAAAAAACTTTGAGTTCCAGTGGAATCCAGTTCAATTAATTCTATTGCTATTTAGGTCCGTAGCCAAATCTTTAACTTTTCGTCGTAATATTTTACCGGATGGAGTCATTGGAAGAGATTCGACAAAATATACACCACCTCTTAGTTTACAGTAGTCCGCAAAATGATCTAAATATGTAGTGAAAACATTCGTATTTGAATAAGTTTCAATGAAAATACGTTGGAAATGAAACATACCTGCGACCAAATTGAAAATATCTGTTTCTATAATATTCGAACCTTTGGTGCGTACAATAAATGCCGCTGGTAAATCAGTGGCAACTTCATCTGGCATTCCAATTAAACATGCAGATTTTATGTCCGGCATTTCGATCAAAAAAGATTCAATTTGCGAGGGCGAAATTTGAAAATTGCAATACTTAATGATATCTTTTTTACGATCAACAATAAATAAGTTCCCATCTTCATCAAAATGGCCAATGTCGGCGGTTAAGAAATATCCTTCTTCATCAAATGCTTCATCTGTGGCTTTCTGATTGCCATAGTAGCCAAGAAATTTATAATTTGTTTTAAAGCAAATTTCACCCTTTTCGCCGACACCACAACGCTTGCCATCTTCATCGACTATTTTTACGGTACAATAGCCCAGTAATTGACCAACGGAGTCTGTATTACCCAAATTGACTGACATTCCACTACCTGCCTCACTCAGTCCATAAACAGCAAAAACTTTTCCGTTTGGTAATCTGGCATTGATTTCATTTTGAACATTAAGTGAACACTTTCCACCTGCCACCGTTAGTAATTTTAAGCTTGACAAATCGGTGTGATGAAGACGGCCACATTTCGATAACAAAGCTATATGATGGGGTGCACTTAATCCAAATGACACTCTATACTTCTCAATAAGTCGAAGATGCAGTTCAGGAGTGTATGATTCCGTTGTAATAATACGAGTTGCACCATTTATCGTTCCTCCAACCAATGTAATCCATCCGGTAACCCAGTATAATGAACTGAATGCCAATAGCACATCATACGAAGAGAATATCACATTAAATTGTGTATTTGCATCGAGTAACGCCGCATGCGATAAGGTAACTCCTTTATTTAGATGTAAAGAACGAATTACTTTCAATATTTTTCGAATGGTTTTCTTTAATCTTTTGTTTACCCTTTGATAGTCCTGTTGTACCACTGGAACAAACAATTATAGCTGTGTCATTTTCACCATCGACTTCCACCGGTCTAAGATCGAATATTTTGTTTTGTTACTCGATTGTTTTAATCTAACTATCGAATGATTTAAAATCATCATTTTATTCACATGAAAAAAAAAAACTTACACAAACTCGGCTTCATTATGCGTTTCAACAAATAAATTCTCAACTTGTTCTGAATCGTCCGTGCTGCCACCAAATGTGAATATTTTTGCATCATTCTTTAGTTCAACCAAGCATTCTTTAAGCAGATCATATGATTCCACATCGCAAAATATCAGAGTCGGCGTAATTATTTTCAACATATGCAAAAGTTCGGTTTTTCCAAATGACGGATCAAGTGAATTGACAGCACTGCCAATAGCGAGTGAAGCGAACACAATCGGTGCTAGATGGTGTGAATTTTTTGCCACAATTCCAAATACTTCTTTTGAATGATAGCCACGTTTTTGAAGATTTTGCGCAGCACGAATTGTTTTCATACGAAGTTCATCATAAGTCAACTGAATACCAGAATCATCACTTATCTGCGTTCAAAATATTTCAAGTTATCAGATAATCTGATTCATAGTGAAATAATAATTTGAAAATTGATTTATTCAATTACTTGAGCGATTTTTGGTCCAAAATTCAAACAAGTTCGAAAAAATACTTGAGCAAGTGATATTTTTGGATTGTATAATGAAGGTGAATCACGACCCTTCCACAATTTTGTCTCTTTATCGAATTGTGTTCTAAACATGTTTTTTTTATTTCTTTATTTTTTAACTTCACTTGAATTTGCTGCAGTCTAACTGTTTCGATGAAACTAATCAAATTCAGCGAAAACACAAGTTTATATAGAGGCAGGCGTTGTTTAAATTGCACAATCTGTTTGTTTGTTATTGCTTGATGTATTATCGAGTTTCAACATCATATTCGGTTTGTTTGTTTATTTGTGACACGCATAAATCAAGCAAGGTATCTTATACCAACGTACTGCTAACCATTTTTTTCGGATTTCAGAGACCAATCCACATAAACAATTTACATCGGTACATCAAGCATTGCTACCAAGTAAATTGGCAGTGTATGTTATATAAAGAAAATAAATCACAAAGTGAATCTATTCTTATTTTTTTCTTCTTATTTCAACAACTCTGAAAAATGTAAAATAGTGATGACTTTGCTATACGACAACTGTTGATAATATTTTGAATATTTATCAAACGCATGTATCTTATCTCTTTTTGTTCACATACCCATGAGAAAGCATGTTCAATGTTCAACGGATTGGATGATAAATTTAATTTTATTTCAGACAATATATTGAATTAACTGGCCAGTTGAGCTGACAGTACGTTAGCCAGCTAAATGGGCTAAAACGTTATTGTTTTAATGATGAATCACTTTTCTTGTTTTAATAGAAGTGATTGTTCATTATAACAATAACTTCTATTGTTTTAGTCCATTTAGCTAGGACGTCCATTTAGCTAACGTACTTTCAGCTCAACTGACCAGTTAGTTGAATATATTGTCTGTTTTATTGTATTAGAAATTGCACAATAATTTCTTAAAAAGCAGTAATCACAATGTATATTTACAAAATTCACTTTGAACAATGTAAATGCTTGACACGAGAGCGATGTTAAATGAAGATAAAGTTGTTACGAAAATATGTGCTATCAATGCCATTCGTGCTCATAAATCAATGGAAAATTGGGAATACGTTCAATGTTTATTTTGAACTTCTGAGGCTATTGATGAGAATGATAACGAAACAATTATATAACGATAACAATAAATAATTCGGGCTACGATTTCGATTCTTTTCCAACATTGTAGACATTCGTTAAGAGCTCAATACCAATCTATGAACTAAGGCAGCTTCAGTACACGTAATTGAGTTTCTGGGTTTTTTCATATGGGTTGATTTAATATTTTTATTCATTCAAGAGTAACTTCATCGAGTTTGGTAACGTTCAGGTTGCTCGTTCCAGTTTTCTTTCATTCGTTGCATTTCTTTTCCAACTTACACGAAATTACTATGCACTAAGTTCCACAATTTTTTTCCGTTCCGTATTCCACACATTGCTTTTATTTAAAATTCAATTTGAAGTCAGGAACGGGTTAAAGAAACTGAGTGAATGAATTTCGAACATGTTACCAATTCATATCCACTTTGTTCCACTGACTGGTGCATGCTTGCTAAAGATATTTTCTGTATGACGTTAAAAATTCAAGTTTTGCGCAAAAATTCAAATCTTAATAATAACCAAAGTTGGTGTGGGCAAAAAATGTGTTATAGAAATTGAATATCTGCAGCATGTTCTCTCATTTTTGCCAGTCTATTAATAGTTTTTCTGATAGAAACGCTCCATTGTCTCGAATTGAAGATGATTAGAAAACCAATGATACGGCGTCATTTTATGGGGATCGCAGTCGCGTTTAATGATGCACTATAAAGAACTTCTATTCTGTGGTGGATTTGATAATAAAATTTGCATTGGCAATAACGTTCTAACGGTGTAGAGAATGAACGCAGAAAAAGAGATATTGGGCCACATTTACTGCAACGACGACTTAGTTACGGATGAAAATGCAGAACACTCGAATATAGAGTGTTGAATTGATGATTGGCATTTTTAACGTGAGCAATGAGCATACATTGTGCCACATAATTTGATTTTTACCACAGACAGTTCGATGTTGGGGTATTACGTGTGCTTCATTTACTTTGGTAAAAGTTACACTCGAATCGTTAAACAATACATTAGCTTATGCATCTTTTGAATGATTATTTTTTATAGCTTTCGAGATAGTTAAATGTTTAAACGAAAAACTATTCAAAGTTGTGTCCTGATTCCGTTTTATAGCCCTCCATTTTATGTAATGCTACGTCTTTTTAGTGAAATTGCGCTGCTGTTCCAATTTTTCGTTCTCCATTTTCGAATAGAACTTGAAGATATGTTCATTGAATTATACTTTACAACATCTAGCCGTATATCGTGCAGAATATGTTCTTAAGGTTTTCTAATGAATTTCAAATGAAATTGGGTAATATTTTACACTGTGTGTGTCAGTCAAAGACACTGTTGCAAATATTTCCCGAAACAAGTGGTAAACTTGTCTAATTTTGGCAAACTTTGCGATGGAAATACATTAACCTTATTTTGTGATGAATATTTAAGCACATCAAAGTGTTTAGCTAAACAGTGTCGTTTAACGTAGCAATTGAGGAAGCGCACATTAAATGAGACGTGAAAATGAGAAGATTTGCACTTCAGACCGAAATTAATTGAAATGAGGCATTTTATTTCCATGCATTTTGTACACAGAAAATAAGTCGGATAAGTCCACAAATAAATAAATGGAATGTCTAACGGTTAAGATTGGGGTAGTGCTAAATGTTTTGATAAGGACCAAGGATGTTTTCACATTAAAAATTAAAACATTCATACGAAAATTTATACATTAAAAACCATGCCGTCGACAATCTTAATATGTTCATATTATTCCATTAATTCTTTAGAAGTTTCTAAATGAAAATTTAACCAATTGACACATTAACAAAAAAAAAAGTTTGACATTTTTGGGATGCATATATCAAATTGAAACATTTTACACGACCTCCATGTAAATGGTTTTTATTTTGTATTTTTAAAGCTGCCACTATTCTACCAAATGTTAACATGTAAACATCATGTATGTTGGTTTTATCCCATTTCATTTGAAACACCTATTTAATCAATTCAATGTTCATAAATCGTGTGAAATGCAGACAAAAATGCTTGAAATATCCATAACTTGAATTAAATTTTAAAACTCTTCTGTCTAAAACTGTCTAAAACATTGTTATTGAATATGTAAAATGCTACATTTTTGGATTGATTAAATTTGATATCAAAGCATACCACATTTATCAATTCAATTTCATGAATTAATATTGAAAATTTTATCATATTCTGACGTGAACACTGTGATATGAAGCTTTATATGAAAATTATTTTGTTTGTGAAATGAATATAACATGGAAAATGTTGCCGATGACAATAGATCGATTTTCTATCAGATTTAAATTGTGTGTTATATGCATAGGTTCTGATAAGGGCACGCAGGCCACGTATTACCCCCTCCTCGAGCGCCGATTTCATACTATTTGCGTGCCCTCGCAAAGGTCTTTTTGGTAGGATTTTTGCTGAAATATGTATGTTTTTTCGCTGATTACCCTCCCCTTGGCAAGCCTATGTCAGAACCTATGGTTATATGCAACAGTTCAATTTACTCATTTTAGTTAATTGTATACAATTCAAAATACAGAAAAACTCAAAAAGGAAACACTTTCAATCAAGCGTTCAGAAAGACATACATTTATGCGAGCAATTGAATGATGCTTGCATCATTTGATGCGCAACGATTGTGCTGTCGCCATACATTCGGATCTTCGGCAGCGCACGATGTGCTCCGAACGCACAATGTAAGCACTAGCGATGCGCATCAAATGATGCAAGCATCATTCAATTGCTCGCATAAATGTATGTCTTTCTGAACGCTTGCTTTCAATCACATTCTACGCAATTTTCACTTTGATATCGGTATTCAGAATGAATGAATGAATGACGTGAACATTTTACGAATTTCATGAATAATGACGTGAGCATTTACTAGTCTCTAGACTCTTTATAATAGGGTACCTACACCTCTGCGATGTCTATAATAGCACTGTTCTGTACATAATTGTTGCGTAGGGATTTTCCGTTGAATTTCCAATAGTAATTAGTAAAAATGCACCTTCAAATACATCCAACAATCATAATAAAACTATACGCAATTCAAATGTTCTAACACATTTTCATAAATAATGCCATCAAAATGAACACCATGCATATATGCATTAGATTATAGATTTTACTTGAAAGTCAGGAACGAAAATCAATGCATGTATCAATATACCATAATTTCTCATTGGTTTGGTTGTATCCAATTCAATAAATGAAATGTCTGTTATTGAACTAAAGACACAACATCTAATGAATAAACGAACATAACTTCGGCATTTCAAATAAAAGGACAGGAGAGACCACTCCCATTTTGCATATGAATTGCAAGGATATTGAGATAGTATCATTTTACATTGCATCGTTTATATTACATATATTGCTTGTGCTTTAATATTCATCAGATACCATTGCATATTCGTTACACTCCACATGCATTTTGTATTCTCAATAGATTCATAATATTAGACCAGTAAAATATACAATAAGATGGGCTATTCTTATGCACACATTGTTAAAATTTAAGATGAAAAAGAAAGAAAGAACTCATGATTAATGATGTTCCATAAGCTGCATGCAAAATTGCTTATACTGTACGATAATAAATGTGCAAACATGTCACAAAAAATAGTTATTTCAGTATAAATAAGTACACACAAATACAAAAATAATCAAATTGTGGAAGTAATCTTTCATTTAATAAAATAATATGTGTATACATAACATGAATTGTGAAAAGTGTTTACATCATATAGTGTCGTTTTATTAATAATATTGTGAATTAATGTTAAAATCAAGTAAATTACCAAAGTTTGGAAACACTATATGCTTGCAATGTTATAAAATTTAACCAATATGGAGGACGCCTCTCACTGACAATCAGTGTCAAAACTATTATTGAACTGGTTGTCAGTTTAGTTTGAGTATGGAATAGCCTAGGTGGCGTCTTCCATATTGGCTGGAAATAAATCAGATCATTATATTGTAAATTACACGCAATGTTTGCAGTCGCATGTTACAAAATATAATTTATATA